GTTCAACTGAAACAGGTATTTTCCAACTTTCTATCTCTCTATTTAGGAATCATTAGGCTTAGGTTTGTGAATAAAAAATGTAGTACTTATTTCCCTTAAGCTGTACATATGCATAGATTTCATTTAAGTTAACTGTGTTGAGAGAATTTGATTGATGAACTTTCTGAAAAAGTTAGGTTAGAAATTAGGGCCAGAGAAATTCTCTCTGGTCTTTGAGAGTTAGATTAAGTTCTTTATATGGTTGGAATCGTGTTGAAAAATGCTATAACTTTTGTGTTGTGAGTTTTTGCTTTAGAGCACGTATACAGGATTTCCAGATTTGTAAAGGAAGGCGCGCGTTTTTGTTTGAACGAAGGTTGAAGATGAAGTAGCTGGGCTGGGCCTGGCTATTTCTCACTTTTGGCGCCCCCCAGCTTGCTGATTGCACCCCCCTGGCCTATTTCATATTTTTTTTTATATTTTTTCTATTTCATTTACATTTCTGATTTTATTTTATTTTTTTAAACATAAACATTTACCAAAAACATTTTCATAAATTTTCACATTTTATTTTGTATTTTTTATTATTTTTTCTAACATAAAAAATAGTTTTCTTAAATAATATACTTTTATTTTTCTAAATAAACTTGTAAATACTACAAAAAATATTATACTTTTTATTTTTATTATTTATATACTCAAATAATATTTCTTTCTAACATATTTTTATTTTTTGACATTTGTATATATTTTTATTTTATTATACATAAATAAATATTATAATATATACATATTCTTAAAACAAAAAAATTAGGGTTTTTACCCTTAACAAAAATAATCTTTTATTTTCTTATTTTTTTAATACATTAAATATTTTATTTTTACACACATAAAAATAAACAAAGACATTTTTTTACATATTTATAATATATTGCATATTTATTTAATTGTCTATTTAAATATTTGCGTATTTATCATTTGAACAAAGAAATTCAAGTTGGTTGTAATAACTTAGGGTTTTAATTTCTTGCAAAATAATCCCCTATTCAAAATTGTATCCCCCTCCCTATATCAATGTTGTAATAGCTTAAATTACTTTTACGCATTTATAGCTTTCAAATATGCCATGATAGAGATTAGGGTTTGTATGCAATATTCAAAATCAAAACAAATAGTTAGACCTAATACAAGACATAAAATGCATGAAAATGACAACACAATGCACACATGTACCCCTAGGGTTTCATCCACTTGTTGCCTTTAAAATAGCCATGGTATGCATGTTGAGTATCTTGGCAAAACAAAAACAAAATAAAAGATCATAGTCCCTCGATGACGCTATCTTGGTTGCCTATACAAAAGATCTAGTCCCTCAAAAATTTGCTAAAGATACTTAGCACAATTGCTATCATGGTCAATACGATGACCCGCGCCTGTCCCGTTTAACATCCAAATACAAGGTTGTTTACCAAATACAATGGTAAAACAACAATGTAAAAGGATTAAAAATGTGTAGGAAAGACTCTTGAGTAGATAGGTTAGATAACTCTTAGTTACTTGATCAAACTTGCAAATATCCTCGCTATTTTCAAAAACACATCACAACACAATTTCAAAACATTTCCCAAAACAAACTTTCAAACAATTGAAATATTTTTCAAAAGACATACACCTTTGTATACATTCAAACAAGAATCATTACAAAGGTTTCCTAGACAAAGGCCTCTTTTCAAAACATTTTCAAAACCACATACAAAGCACCATTTCAAACAATTGAAAAGCAAAAGCAAGTGATCTAAACAAGTAACTAAGAGCCCATGGATAACCATGGATGAAAAGGGTGCTTGCACCTTCCCTTTTCATAATCTACCCCCCGAACCCAAGAAAACATCTCAAACGTCTTTCCTGTGCTTTTTGACCTTTCCTTTGGATAAAATAAAAAGTTGGTGGAGACTCTTGCTAAACCGAAACATTTTCAAACACAAACGCAAAACTTCAAGTCAGTTCTCTCACCGTATCACAACAGGTATACAAGCTTCTCGCAAAGGAATCTCTTATGCGATCGATACTTCTTCTGATGGCATCTTTAAGCCCATCTTCCAACATCAATCTCCAAATGGAATCTATAAGCCCGTTCCCGACATCACAAGATAAATACCACTTCATGCGAGTGCAAATTTCTGGGCACTCTAGTGTTCAATCATCTTCCAACTTCGGATCACGAAAGGAAAGCAAGCCAATCTACATCCTCAGGTTTAAGAAGATTGAACAGCGGCAGCTGTTGTACGCAAAAATTTTCCCTCCCATATTTCTCAATACATCTCAAGTGAGATCCTCAAATTGCTCAAGGAAGTACAAGGGTTGACCAGACAAACTCTCTCCTAAGGCAGTCTACCTCAAATTAGGGTTTCAGTTTGCATCAAGATGTTTGAATAAAAAGGATACCAAATTCCCACCATTGCCCTAATATGTTTTCAAGATCATCCATGTCAATTTTCAAGCCTTGCAGAGGAAGTTTGCTCAGTCAATTGCTTAAAGGGCTGAAAATCGAATGTGTTAGGGCAAAAGTCAATTGTGGCCCACATACAGTCAAACTTCAATATTTTTGGTCAACATCCTAATTTTGGAGTATTATTCATCATTTTATCAAGGGTTGATCATGATTCCTCAAGGATTGCTCACAATTCATCAAAACCCAAAAGTTGCTAAATTAGGGTTTTGCAGGAAAAGTCAACTCAACTTTGACCAAGCATAACTTTCTCATACTTTATCAAGAATGATCCATCCAAAGCTCATTTTTAGTAGGATGCAATTACCTACAATTAATATTCAGCTCCCAAGTTCAAAATATGCACTCACAAGAAGATACAAATTTGGACATTATAGGTCATTTTGAAAAGTCAACAAAAACACCTTTTTTGTCAAAGCTTCATACATGAACATGGAAGACTCAATTGAGATGAGACCAAAAGGGTTGCTTAGAGGACATCTCAAGATTTCTAAAAAGTCCAAGAACACATCTCTAGGGTCAAAATTGAAGGAGTTATGCATTGGCAAAGTTGACCTTTTTTGCAAAATTGCCAAAAGTCAAAAGTGGCCAAAATTGCAAATTTTGTCAAATGGGCCCAACTTTTTGTGCTTGCATTGAGTTTGTAACATGGTCCACGACCCATGATCCTTCTTGAAACAACCAGCTGAAAATTATCAAAATAATGAAGTCGCCATCGAACGTCTTTTATCCCACATGTAGGGAAAGGTAAACATCGAGAAAACCTAAGAAGGGAGAAGTCACGGTCTTGCAACCGAGAGATAAGGGTAAGGGAGTCTGTTACGCGAGGGGAAGGTATTAGAACTCCACACGCCCGTAGTACTCTACGGTATCCACTCTTGTTATCTATCTTATAGGTGTGTTTAACCTATGCTTACTGTCTATTACTGCTAGAGGGAGAACGCATTCAAAAGAGAAGGGGACAAAACGTAGGGAAAATAAAGTTGTGCTCGCTTGGTCCCTACCCCAATGCCTACGTATCCGTTTTGAGGAATCAGAGCTACCGTAGTTCGGCTCATATGTTTTTGTTTGTTTACGTTTTTTATGGATGAAGTTAATTCCGCCTTCTGCCGCAGCTCGACCTTTGGAGACTTATGCGTTGGCACAGAAGTAAATTAATCGTGTCCTTACCTGAAAAGGGTTTTTAAAGAAAGGTGCTCGAGCGCACAAATGGTTTGAGTTGATTTGTATTTTTGTTGCAGATAATGACTAGTCGACCTCAAGAGAGAGATATTAGCCACTTTTCTACTTAGCTATGAAAGGAGTCTTTGAGAATTGAACCACACCTAGGCTTGAGATGAAGAACAATAAGATCGAGAAGAGACCCGCTTATCATTTCCCATACTAAGCAAAAGTGTGATTCTCATCAGTAGTTTTAAAGTGTTTTGAATTTTGAAAGAAAAAAAGAAGTTTTAGTTTTTAAATGCGAATGCAAACGGGAAAAAGTCATAGGGAGACTAGCCTATTTCTAAACCTAATTTTATCATGCGTTGTTAGACCTACAGTTTGGATGAATGAAAGGGAAACATCTACCTAGTGTTAGCATGCATATGGTTTGCGATAAAGTACGGAAATGAAGAATAAAATAGAGTTGCAGTGATACCGAACAGAGGAGGTCCGTTGCCTCTTTAAAGCTACACAAGCGATAAGAAAACTCTACTAACAAGCTTCTTTGCACAAGTGATCAAACGAGTTAATCTCCAAACGTTCCACTTTGTAAAAGTTGCATCAATACTATCACAAACTCCTAGCTAACGGAGAAAGTTTGTTGCTTCTTCAAAGCTGCGCAAGCAAAAAGACGTCCAAAAAGCCTCACCAGTAGTCAGCCAAATTAGTAACCGAGCATCTCATATCATAAAAAATTGCCTCAATATTCAATTACAAAATCTTGGCTAAATATGATAAAAACGATTACCAAGTATAAAAATAATAGAAGATTCTAATAATTCTAAAGGGAACCTGAAAATATTTCCTAAAATATTCTAACAATTTTTTAGGTTATTTTGTCATGCAATAAAAATTGACAAAAGCCAATAAAAGAAAATTGGTAAATAAAAAATAAGATGAAAACGTAAAGAGTTTAGGGGGTGTAAAGTCTAAACCGAGGTGTATTTTCCAGCAATAACTCTAGGTGCAAGGCCCATGCAATAAGGTCCATGAGCTATTTTTGTTTGCAGCATCAAGCTCTTAGCTAAAATAAAATGCCCACAGACCAAGGCAAGGAGGGTGACTCGGCCCAGTCCAGAAGTGGTCCACTAGCATTTTTGTTATATTGTCTTTAGGACAAAAAGAACCTGCGGGCTTAAGACGAAGAGATGAGGCCCAACCCAGTATAATCAATATTAATCACCATTTTCCACATTAATTTACTTATTCTGATTGTTACTAAAATAAGATGATAAAAATAATTAAAAGAAAAGTAGGTAGAAAAACGACTGTGTTTTGATATTCTAGGTCAGAAAGCTTCATCTTCATGAGAAAACTCCTTCCTCTCTTATTTGTTGACAACGCCGATTATATCTTCACTTTCACCGCCGTACCCTCCTCCGATTACCACAATAGCCCTGTCTCTATCCGTTCATTCTCGTGACTTCGAACTCAACCCTTAGCCGCGGTCTCATCACTTCCTTCTTCTTCTTCTTCCGATCGTCACCGTGCCATGGAAGTCGCGATAACACTGTATTCTTCACATCAGTTTCGCAAACGGCGGCCCTACCGTCACTTCGCCTTCTTCTTCTTCTTCGATCACTCACGATTGGAGCATTCTTGAAAGATGCAGATTAAAGATGATGTTGTTGCGGTTGTTGATGTGCAGAGAGATTCCGGATGAACATGGATGATAATGGCGATGAAGGCGGAGTCACTCTGGAGACAGACGAGAAGGAAATCCGACCGTATATGCTCAGGTAAGAATTTTCTTTTCGATTCTTCTTCTTGTGCGAAACTCTATTTGTGCAAAGTTTTTGTTGTTGTTGTGTTGTGTTGATGAATGTGAGACTTTGCTATTAGTGATCTATAATGTTGTTGCGATCTTGTTGCAGATTCATAGTGATGATGATGGTGATACGAAGATGATGATGAAGTTGTTGAAGTTGTGGATGAACGGCGAACCATATTGAGGATGTAGATTACACAATGATGAAGAATGAAAATTGAGTGGTGATGATTGTTACTGTTGAAGATGAACGCAGGTTGATGAAGATGGAAGAAGATGTAGATGCGGTTATTACATAGAAAGAGAGAAGAAATTTTTGGGGTGATTCTCCAACGATTGAATCATGAAGCAATTGAAGGAGATTTCTGTTATATCATCTGAAGTTTGTTACAGGTAAGTAATTCAGAGCCCTTGGATTTGTGATAGTTAGTTATGAGATGGAGGGTGAGGATTGGGTTAGTTTCCAGTTGTTAAAGAGTTGGTTAGAGGTTGTTATTCTGTTTGGCAATGTTACTAATTCTGTTAGAAGTTAGTTTGTTATAACCGTTTTGGGTTGGTTATTGAATGTTAGTTAGATTTGGTTAAGCTGAACTGGTTACATAATTCCTTCTGAACTTCTGTTAAAACTTTCCTCTGACTTAATTACCCGATTTGCTGATTTTTACTTCCTTTTGTTCACAGTACAGGGAACTGTCTTGAGAGGAACCGGTTTTAGCAAGCTGTTTTCGGTTTTTATGTGAGTTAGCCGGACTGGTTTTGAATCTGGTTAGGTGGTTAGGAGGTTTGTTAGTCATTAGAGTTTGTTATTCTGTTAACAGTTACAGCAGGGCTGTTTTGGAATTTAAAGGATTGCTAATTGTTTTGAATTTTTCTAAGCTAGTTTTATTAATTTGGCACAGGGCTGAACTTGTATTTCAACTGATGCAGGGCCAATTGTTTTTGAATTCTGAACCGACTTCTATTGCTTTGCGAAATTGCAGGATTGAGAAAACCTGAGATGGATTCAAATGATACATGAAGCTTTGGGCATAGATTGAAGATATCGTGGCTTGGTCATGGGAAGCAAGCATGAAGATGTATGGGCTAAGACTTAGCCTTAGAACAAAAGTTTGTATGATTATGAATGTAATTGGATGAAACTCAGATATTGTATGTATTTGTAATTTAGCTTTGTGAATTGTAACTTTTTTTTGTATAACATCAACATGGCTTGTAAATTTGCACGATTATGACCTTGAACAATCATGAGTATCTGAAGTTGGATAGAACTCTGATGAATGCAAGCAATGAATAAGTGAATAACCTGATTATTCTTACCAACAAATTTCATGTTTTGATTTGTCCTTCCAAGTCAAACATATCTTGGAACCATACACAAAACTTAATTGATTAAGTGATGCATAAATGAATCCATATCTTCTCTTGTATGAAAGCCATGTAAACATTCTTCCCACTTTGATCCATTCTTGAAAAATTGAATTCATAGAGTCTCTTTCAACACATCCCTTTTTTAAAGTAATCCCTAAGTCATGCTTAAATTCGTGTCGACTTACACTTTATTCCCACAACTCCTTGATAAAAGGAAATTGAATCCATTCTTCGCACAAACCATAATTATTGCCTTCTAACCCAAAAATCTTGGATTGAATTAGTAAAAGATAGAATCATAAAATGCGATGCCACCATCCCTTACAATTCGAGCCTTAATTGATTAGAGAATGTGCCAATGACCTTGGCTTGGTGAATAAATAAATTATATCCATTTAATAGCAAGCCTCTTGACATTAATCTTGATCAATCATAAGAAGGTTCAACATGACTCTCTTCCCTATGAAATCCTCAGATTAAAACTAAGCTTTAGAAACATCAAAGGAAAGAGGTTCAATTGGAATATTGATTCAGTCATTAAGCGCCACAAATGAAACCTTAATACACTTGTCTCAGGATGGAAATTTGATGAAGACAGAAGTCTGTAATGACCATGAATACACAACCCTAGCTTCAAACCATTGATCTTTGCAAAAAACTCGCAAACCATTGATTGTTGAAGAAATCAGTTGAATCTCCCTAAATGAAGATGAAGGCTTAAAAGTATAGAGAAACCCTAATTCCACCATATCGCTGATTTCATGCCAAATTATGTTGTTAGCGAATATATGCAGTGTTAAATGACCTAATGGAGATATGTACATGAGAAAAGCGCGACAATGCATAAACCAGATAAAAGTAGAAGGGTAGGACAAATTTGGGGTATTACAGCTGCCCCTATTTAATCGTCTTAAACCTGAAAGTACGATTGGCGCGTGCCTTTCGGAAGTTCAAGGTGGAAGATGATTAAATACCAATGCCAAAAATTTGTCCTGGGAGGAAGTCTATTTATTTATTTTGTGATATCTGCTGGGGGAAAGAAGTTTGTTTTTTCAATGAAGAGACAGAGGTTAGACTTGTAACGTGGAGCGATGCCAATACAAGACAAATGGTTGGTATGAAAAGACAGCGGCCGAGGTCTACGGACGACCTACGATCCTAAGGTGACACATGAGAGTGATTTGACAGAGAACCTATCCAAAGGGCGATCTTAGGTTCTAAGACAAAGTATATGGAAAGAACCTAGCCAAGAGGCGATCTCAGGTTCGACGATGATTTGAGGGAAGAACCTAGCCAAGAGGCGATCTCAGGTTCTAAGAAGGTGATCTAAGGAGGAACCTAGCCAAGAGGCGTTCGACGGTGATTTGAGGGGAGAACCTAACCAAGAGGCGATCTCAGGTTCTAAGAAGGTGATCTAAGGAGGAACCTAGCAAAGAGGTGATCTCAGGTTCGACGGTGATTTGAGGGAGGAACCTAGCCAAGAGGCGATCTCAGGTTCTAAGATGATCTAAGGAAGAAGCTAGCCTACGGTGATCTCAGGTTCGACGATGATCTATGGGAAGAACCTAGCCAAGAGGCGATCTCAGGTTCGACGATGATCTAAGGAAGAACCTAGCCTACGGGCTATCTCAGGTTCGACGATGATCTAAGGAAGAACCTAGCCTACGGGCGATCTCAGGTTCGATGATGATCTAAGGAAGAACCTAGCCTACGGGCGATCTCAGGTTCGTCGATGATCTAAGGAAGAACCTAGCCTACGGGCGATCTCAGGTTTGACGATGATCTAAGGAAGAACCTAGCCTACGGGCGATCTTAGGTTCTAAGATGATCTAAGGAAGAACCTAGCCTACGGGCGATCTCAGGTTCGACGATGATCTAAGGAAGAACCTAGCCTACCGGAGATATCAGGTTCGAAGATGAAACATGGATTACGACATGACGATGGTTTAGATAAGCGACACGGACGAGCATCAAGAAAGGTTAAACATAGACTAGTGTTTGAATAAATACAGACGAGTATTGAAAGAAGATACGAACGAGTATAAAAAGGTTAAACACAGACGAGTGTTTGAATCAATACGGACGAGTATTGAAAGAAGATACGAACGAGTATCAAAGGTTAAACACAGTGTTGGCTCCTAAATTCGACACCTTTGTTTCAATTGATGACAGCCATTAAAAGCTGAAAGATGCTTTCGACTGGCTAAGCTTGTCGAAGTGACCGTCGAAAGATGGCCAAATACTTAGAAAGATTTCTTCCAAGGAAGGAGGCTGATTGCCTTCGACGTCGAAGGAGTTTTCGTCGAAGACGTCTCTTGATGAACGTGTTCGATGGTCCAGAGTGGAACAGTTTGAAATTCAAAGCTTTGGAGGGAAAACGGTTTCCAGCAGTTACTACGTGCGAACGTGCAAGGATCTGGAGCGTCGAGCATGGAGAACGTGACAAGTGGCTGGATCTCGAAGCAGTGTAACTGCCCGACGGTTACTTGGAATGTTTTTGTATAAATAGGAGTAGACGTGTAGTTTCTCGCGTGTGTTCACAATAGATACATAGTCACTCATTTAGATTCAAGTACCCAGTGTGAGCGAACGAATTGTTGAGAAATGTATGTGTGAAACACCAATTTAATCAATTCAAGTCATTTACTTTTTCAGTATTTTACATGCTTTTCCCTTTAAGATTCCTGTCGAACCTTTACATTCCAGCCTTGTTTATTTTACCAAGCCTTTTCCTTTATGCAATTTACTTTAACCAATTTACTTAAAGCCTTATCCACACTAATTAAACTTCAAAATCAACCTATGTCCATAGGATCAATCTGATCGATCCTGCGAGTAACCAAATAAGTAACCATTTGGAGGATCAGCGGTTGTTTACCAAATCCCCAGGTAAACAAATTGGCACACCTGGTGGGACCGTGTGTTGATTGTTGAAAAATCTCATCTTTTCGAGTTGTATGTTATTGAGGAGTGGTAGAATATACACCAACGATAATAATACTGCCGGGAGAAGGGAAGAAATGGCGAATCCGCCAAACAACAATGAAATCCCACAAGCAAGTGTGGGAGCAACGGTTAATATGACCGTTAGCGAAGCGACGAATGCTGGTTCGATACCAGCGGTGTCAGTCACAACCACGGGGCCAACGACTTCGTTTGCAGGCCCCAGAATGACTTTGGGAACTCCCCCTCCAAGGGGAAATACTGGCCCAAGGCCAGTGGTTCCCCCAGGATTTATTCCATTCTATGGTATGCCAACTTCTGAATTGGCAAGCCTAACGAATGCTGCGTCCACTTATTCAGAACCTTTCGTGAGTGCCACTTCGCCACTCCAAGGCTCTGGAGTAGGCATGGCGAATAGAAATAGGACCCAACTCTTAGGAGGAACGGCCCAAGTAGCCCATGGCCTTACAAATGCCTCGACAGCAGTCTTGAGGCAACAGATGGACGAAAGCAACCATGATATGGTGCAAATGTTGGCACAAACTTTGAGTACAGTGCTAAATCCTCTAATACAAAATACTACTCAGTCGAATC